TAGGTTCTAAATCAACTGCAAAATAGCACAATAAAAGACATATTTTGGCTCAACCGGTTGAAGAAAGTCCTCTTCTTCCTAATTGTTAAAGTTTTTCAATGTAACAATGCAACTTTCTTTCATTTTAAGTTCAAAATAAATTAGTTTTGTATTATAAACCAGCCTGTATGTTGACTTCATGGCTCATATTGTAACATTTCTGGCTAACATGGGTTGCTTTGGCCTTTTTTTTCGACCTGTCGATTCATATTTTTTCTGAAAAAATCCAAAAACAACAAATTAAATTGGTGTGGCCTTAGTACGCAATGTTTGTAGTAAAGGTCTTCAGCTTATGTTTTAGACTCATACACCATCAAACTACATGTAAGTGTAGAAGTGGCACAACCAACAGCTTTGCCTGAAAATTTGAAATAATCTTGAAATAATCCCTTGTATTTCTTCACTTCCACCCCTCGACACACGTCAGGTACAACTTCACAAAATTGTCAACCTAGCTGAGAAACAAAAATGTGTTCTAAATTGATGATGGTCTAGATTTTATTTTTTTATTTCATTATTACATAATATAACTTTATTTCATATATTGATGGTTACTTGATATTGAGGCTAGAGAAGATAAACAGTAGGCCAAAAATATGTAATGATATGATTGAGAACAACTCAGTGATACATACAATGTCATATTATTGTACCTGTACTTTGTAAACAGCCAGAACGACCCAGTTATCAGTTTTAATTTGTGGCTAGGGACTGTCTTGTACAGGGAATAATCATATAGATGTATGGGAAGGAACAATCCCTTCAGCGTCTTTCAGTTTACATTGTGTATTTTCACACATTCCTAACAGATGCAGTTTTGAATATTGTGAAGCAAGCTGCCAAGGTGTTCACTGGTCCTTCAGATGGCATGGCCTCAACAGAACCTCATGAAGCAAAGGGAAAAGTATCAGTGGAGAAAACATTTCTTGAACCAACTCTGGAGTACCCTGAACCTTGTCTGGGTAAGTAATAAAAATGTAGAGAAGCAAACCATCATCAGGAGTTGTGTGAACAAATTTGTGTCCACATAGTCAGCAAGATCTGAACAGATTTAATAAATGAGTTACCAGCACTATAATTACATATCACAGGTTCAAAACTTTTGGTGGTGGCTGGGAGAGAGGTAAGGGAGAGAGTAAGAATGGCATGTAGGAGAACCAAACCTGTATCTGAACCCTGTCACAGTGGCTGCCATATTGTCATTGTAATCTACAATGCAGTTGAGACTTTTGATTGGACATGATGTTAACTATTGGCCTGTTGGCCTTACCTTTTCCTGTGTTGTACATGTACAGTATGGACAGTGTGGAACTCCTTGCCACCTCAAGTTTGAATGACTCAGAAATTAGGGACATTTAGGACAGCTAAAGCAGGTGTGTGTCACACAACTAAAGCAGGGATGTGTCACACAGCTAAAGCAGGGGTGTGTCACACAGCTAAAGCAGGGGTGTGTCACACAGCTAAAGCAGGATGTGTCACACAACTAAAGCAGGGATGTGTCACACAGCTAAAGCAGGGATGTGTCACACAGCTAAAGCAGGGATGTGTCACACAGCTAAAGCAGG